AAAGGCTGTGAAGGACCTATACACTAAAAATATAACACGCTGTCAAAAGCAACAAGATATGAAGAAATGGAAGATACCCTGTGTTCATGGATGGGAAGGATAAAACATTGTCAAAATGACTACATTACTTAAAATAATTTACAAATTCAATGCAATACCTATCAAACTTCTAGTGGCATTTTTCAAGGTAGTAGGTCAGTTATAAAATTAGTAAGGAATCACAAAAGAATTGCTAAAGTAAGGAATCGCTAAAGTAGTATGGAGAGAAAAGAAAATGGAGATCTCACAGTCCCTGACTTCAAACTATACCAGAAAGAAAGTATGGTACTGAAACAAAAACAGAAACACATGCCAATGGAAAACAACAGAGAGCTCAGAAATAAATCCACAGAAATATGACAGAATCATTGACAAAGTAGCCATGACGATACACTAGAGAAAGGAAAGCCTCTTCAACAAATGTAATGGGAAACCTGGATAGCAAAAATGAAAACAAAAAGAAACTAATCATTTAAATCCATACATAAAAATTGATTCAAAATGGATTAAAGACTAGGATATGAGACCTGATACCATGTGACATGAGAAAAAAACAGACAATACACTCCTAGATATCAACTGCAGAAATTTATTTGGGGATTCAATACCAGTGGCAAGAAAAACAAATGAAAAATGAGATTACATCAAAATAAAGTTACTGCACTATGAAAGAAACCACCACAAAGCCAAGAGAGACAATCTATGAACTAAAAGGTATTTATATGTCTGTAAGGGGTTAATTTCCAAAACATATAGAGAATTTATACAGTTCAAAAACAAAACAAAAAACTCAAGTAAAAAATGAGTGAAAGACCAAGTAGATACTTCTCCAAAGACATACAGATGGCCTTCAGGCACAGAAAAATGTTCAACATCACTCATTAGAATGGAAATGCAAATCAAATCACCATGAGGTACCCTGTGTGACTGGCCTATCCAAAAGAATGCAAACAACAAATGTTGGTATAGATGTAGAGAAGGAGGAAACCTCATTCACTGCTGGTGGAAAATTAAATCGGCTCATCCCCTATGGAAAAAACTCAATGGAGAAAAGCTCTAAAAAACGGAAATGCCGTATGATCCAACAGTATATAACATTTAGGTATTTACCCAAAGAATAGAAAAACATGAATACAAAAAGATTTTTATGTACTCCTACATTCACAGCAGCAGCCAAAATGGAGTCAACTTAAATGTCCACTGATGGATATGAATGGCAAAGAAACTGTGGTACATATTCTCAATGGAATACTAGTCAACTATTAAAAAACATGAAATAGGGCTCTCCCTGGTGGTGGCACACCAGGTTAAGGCATGGCACTATGCAGCATGAGTTTGATCCTCGGTCAGGGAGCTGACCCACATGGTGTGGCAGGGCTCTCCTGACCCGCCCGCTGCTCCTCTCAGCAGTATATTTCAATAGATCTGCCTGTTCTGTTCCCCACTCTGTCTCTGGTGAATCTTCTCACCCACCACGCCTTTGTCCTGTATCCCAGGTTCTATAAGCATAAATAAATTTAAAAATATATTCATTAAAAAAAGATGAAATAGTGCCTATGGGATGAATGGATGGATCTTGAGATGGTTATTCTAAGTGAAATAAACCAGAAAGTTACTGGATAGTTTCACTCATTTGTGAAATATAAATAACCAAAGAAAACAAACTGACCAAACGCAACAACAAACCTCTTAGATGCTGGGAAAACTATAGTAGTTGCCAGAGTGGATGAGGTGGGGGAAGAAGAGAGGGAATGTGATAGGGGCTTGGCGACAGAGCTTTGGTGAAAGGTGAGTGAAGCATGGGTACATGTAGAGGTATGAAGATGTTTTCCCAAAATATATACTCATGTAAACAATTGGCGAATCAATAACATAATTTAAGAAAAAATATAAATGGCCACAGATCAGAGGTGACCGGGTAGATATTATAACTATGTGTAATGTAATAGCCTGGATTGAATCCTGTAACAGAAAGGGGACATTAATGGAAAGTGAAGCCTGCAATTTATTAACAATAATTTACTAAACTGACTGTTTAGTTTTGACAAACATACTATGTAATGTAAGATAGTAACATTCAGGAAAATGGTATTAGATATGAGAAATAAGAGACTTGTGTATCTGCAACTTTTTAAAAAGTATTCCAAAATATAAAAAGTATCAGAAAAGATGTGGGTTTACATCCAGACAAATACTGGTGTTTTAGATATAAAACCACAGTTTTTAGTACTAATTGCTGCAACAAATACAAACTGACATAAAAGATGAACACCGTGAATATCAGAAAAGATTCTTCTTTTTTTTTTTGTTAAAGATTTATTTATTTGTGCATACAGAACTGGGGTACAGGCCAGAGATGCAGGGGTGGTGAGAGGATTCACCAGAGACAGAGTGGGGAGCAGAACAGGCCGACTGACAGAGTACACTGCTGAGGCGAGCAGCGGGTGGGTCAGGAGAGGTCTGCCATGCCATGTGGAGGAGGTGCCATGTGGATCTCCTCCGGGGCTGCCAGGGATCGAACTCATGCGGAAGTAGCTTAAGCTTCTTAGTGCTGTGCTTTAACCCACTGCGCCACCAGGGAGGGCCCAAAAGATTCTTCTTTTTGGTTACATAAACATCTAGAGAATCTTTTAAAAAAAGGAACATGTTTTGGGCTCTCCTTGTGGTGCAAGAGGATAAGTCTCAGCACTGTGAAGCTATCAGCAGCCACAAATTCAGCATGAATTTGATCCCCCACCAGGGAGCTGACCCACATGGTACAGAAGACCTCTCCTGTCTCACCCATGTCTCCCCTCAACAGTGTATTTCAATAGATCTGCTCCCCACTCTGTCTCTGGTGAATCCTCTCACTGCCCCTGCACCACTGGCCTGTATGCATAATAAATCTTTTAAAAAAAGCAACATATTTTATGATATCAGGACTCACAGGCATTTTAATTAGATGGCTAGAACAAGAAGACTCTTGAAGATCTCATCCAATTCTAAGACTGAAGCAAAACAAATGCAGTCTAATTTTGTTTTGGCCCTTTAAAGGAAATTACTTCCATTAATCAAATGAATCCTTTAACTACTGTTTGAAGCAAATGGTCAACAAGTAGAACCAGAAAAATGAGAAACTGACAGAAAAGTGGTTATGTTTTTATTAAAAATGGGACATGGCTGTCCCTGGTGGTGCAGCGGGTTAAAGCACAGCACAAAGAAGCTTAAGCCACTTCTTCATGAGTTCGATCCCCGCCTGCCCCGGAGGAGATCCACATGGTGTGGCAGACCTCTCCTGACCCACCCGCTGCTCGCCTCAGCAGTGTACTCTGTCAGTCGGCCTGTTCTGCTCCCCACTCTGTCTCTGGTGAATCCTCTCACCCTCCACATCTCTGGCCTGTACCCCAGTTCTGTATGAATAAATAAATGTATCTTTAAAAAAATAAATAAATAAAAATGGGACATGACCTGACACTGACAAAAACTACAAAAGGAAATACTGTTTCAGTTTCTAGAGGCAAATAGGAAGACAGAATTTACACTGGTCCTACCTGACTCTTTGAGGGCAGCCCTTAGCCTCACCTGTGGTCAGTGTGTATGTCATCTCTGCCAATTTTCACTTCTCCCACCAGGTCATCATGTTCTCCTTGCTGCCTGGGTTCCCCTGCCCTTGTTTACTTCTAGGAACTTGTTCTTTCTATTCTCAAGTTTTTCTCCCTCCTCCTTGATTATAGCTACTTATAGGAAAATGCTGGTATTGTGTCATATTTCTTTCTTTTCTTGTGTGTCATATTTCTTAACTGCCAATGTTTTAACAGAAGTTTAGTAAACAAGTATTGTACCCTATATAATGTGTCAAATACATGCCAGTTCGTAGCATAAGATTTGGAATAAATGGAAAGTTGAGTTGCAGCTTTGTTTTTATTTGTGTAATCCTGGGCAAGTAACTTATCTCTTCTGAGTCTTAGCTGAAAAGAACAGTATATGCTACTGGGGAAACGAAACAAGTGTATATCATTTCTCCATTGTGCCTGATCATAAAAGTCATCTGAAACATTTTAAGAAAACCAGATTTTAGGCACCTTTCTTAGAGATACTAACTCACTGTGATACAGGGTGTGGTGGGCCTGCAATCTATTTTTCACAAGTATCCTAGGACTTTCTCGTAACTGCTTAATTTTGGGAAACAATCAGATTATCTATTAAAAGCTCTTGGCACTTAAAATTTCAATAAACGGTGACTATGAAAGGTAGGTGTGATGTCAGTGTTAAGATGACATAAATTATTTCACACAGATGAACTAACCCAGCAAAGCAAAACACGAAATCAAAATTTTGTTTTATAATATAAGGTACTCCCTTTTATAAGAGAATGTGAAATATAAACAAAGATTTTTTTTCCTCTAGCAGCTCAGGTTCTCCATCCCTAGCAAATAATAATAATTATTATTGCTATCCTCACTGACCTGGAGGCAACACAAAAGCCCTTGACTTCATGTTCTACAGCGGTTTGTACTAAATGGGAAGGCAGTAAGTTTCTTTCCCACCATTCTATAGTCCACGCCTTCTTCGTAAAGCTGGGAAATTTGTTCTGCTCCTGTTTACTTGCATTTGATTCTCTAAGTTTTTCTGCATGAGGCAGACATATATAAACACACTCTCATATTCTACTGTGCCCAGAAAGATCCCTGGCAAATGAAGAAAATTACAGTGATGTCTGAGAAAAAGAAAGAAAAATGCTTGCTTTGATTGACAGCCTAAAGCAACATCTTCTTGCAGGATGGCAGATAGAACCCATGACTTTTTCTAATCAAGAGAGTATGACAAACATAATGGGATGTAAGTTACATCACCAAATGAAATCATAGTGGTAGATTACTACAGCTTATACTTCTTGGCTCCAAGATTGAGATATTATTAGCTATAAAGGCAGAAGACAGCTGTCTACTTTATAAAATGAAAAACTGAATATTTGATCTCACCTCAGCAGGTTTCTTGTGTTCACTTGGAATTTTTGATTTACATTTGCTCCTATACATTGAGCCAGAAGTAAAGGAAGTAGAAGGACCTGCAAAAGATAATTGGAAAGAATACTGAGACTTATCTGCTAATATAAGTAAATGTTACCCAAGAGAATCTGAAAGATATGGACAAGAGGACAGTGATCTCATACTGCTGAAGTATCCAAGAAAGGCTTGTAGTGGAGCTTAATGGAATTTATAGGTGACTTACCAGCATGAAAAAGCTTCAACAATGCTAATGCTAAGGAGATCTGATTTGGTGTAACCATACCTTACAATATTTTGGAATAACATGACTCATGATCCACTTGGAGAAGATGTATCTGCAAAAGCAACTAGAAAAACTAAAACTGTGGAGCAAGTAAGCTGTGTATTCTTCAGCACTTCCCAAAATGCAATTTTGATAAGGTTGTTGCCTTTTACAAGTGACTTTCATTCAAGCAAACATTTAGTACCTGCGCTACAATTAGAATTGCAGGCCTACAACTTTTACTTTTATACTTCCTTTCCAGAAAACTACTATTAAATGATTATTAGAATTTGACTTTTATTGCTGAGATAATGAAAAATGAAAAAAAAATATATGCCACACAAAACCAATTCTCCCACCTGTAATTTATCTATTTCTAATGAAGTTTAAATGAATAATTAAAAAAAAGGTGCTCCAAGTGCTTCTTTCCTATAAGCATTAGCTTTAACCACTGAAAGACACATGGAACATCTTGGCTTCAAGTTAAAGGAATCCTCAAGGAGTACAGATACAAAGATTACCAGCAGTTGACTGGTTCTACTCACTGTCATCTGAACTGTCACTGCTGCTGAGAGTTCTATGGCGTTTCATCCTGGAGCATGCTGGGAAAGAGAACAACACTGAATAAAACAGTCAACACATACACATACCCATTCCAAAGAACAGTCAATACTGTCCTACAGACCCCAAGAAACAAGAGCAAACGAGACAAATAATTACTGTCAAGAATATTCTCAAATAACCTAGAGTAATAGGAGAAGAGTACCACAAAATTCTCAATATAGAGTACGTCAAAGGCTGGGCAAGGCCTCATATAAACTTTAGGAGGAAGCCTAAGTAATATAGGAGGAATGCTACAGGACTGTTCGAAGTTTCAGATGTGGCCACATTAACTACTGTCCGCCCATACTAAGGGGGAACAGCCATAGGATCAACAGTTAGGCAGCTCCAATAAAGGAAAAAGTAGTAGTGAAGGCAGAGCTGTCAAGGGCCAAGGTTGAAAGAACAATGAGGCATGTTCCACCTTTAAAAGCACAATCACACAACTTTTCTGCCTTCCCTTTCTCCCCTTCTCACGTTCTTCTTGTCCCCATCTTCCAAATAATGAGCATAATTTAAAATGCATCTATATACACACCACAAGGAATATTATAGAAAACCCTATACTGTGAAAAATAAATAATACTTTGGACTAAAATTTCTAATGGCTTAAAAGTGTCTTTTCTATGTTCATGTGGCCAATAACAGAGGTAATAGAGATACTACCCTTTGGAAACATACAAATACTAGAATGTAGGGGGAAAGGAAGACACACACATCTCAAGTCACAAAGAAAATAAAAATATAAACTAGAAAGTACACTAATATAATCAGTAACTGACATTCTTTTATGTATTAAAGTACAGAAAATGCTACTGGGGCAATCTCCTTTCCACAAGACATAAAGGCAAGTGCTACTGCCTTTAAGTTACTCACAGTCTACTCAAGAGGTAAAAATTCAAGTATAAAGCCACTGTGAGCAATTAGGTGTAAAGAGTATGTTGAAAAGTTAAAGATTTTTACTTCTGGCATGACAGTGTGAAGAGCTTCATAAACCCACTACCTAGTAAAAAAAAAAAAAAACAAAACCCACCCAAACAACCATTTAAAATCTCCAGAAACAGTCCTAAGGGCATATAGCAAATAAAGTAGTAATTATTAAAGAAAATCTAAATCTAGTATGTAAAGTAAGAAATCAATGAATCTGGACCTTGATTCTACTTTCCTACATCCTCCCTCCAATAACAGATCAAAGTCAGACTGGTAGTCACAAATATGGAGCTACTTCTCCCCCAGTTACCAGTTACCATACTTTCTGAGTAGAAACAGTAAGTTATCATTTCTCTTCCTGTCCCCAGCTACCTGTTGCTGAGGCTAAGTTCCAAAGAGGTGTGGCTGAGAGGTAGAGGCTCCTTATTCCAGGTAGCACCCACTCCTAGGATAGAATCAATACCTTGAATGTGGTACCACCAAGAATACCAAGGCCCAAGCTTGTTGGTCCCTGTTCATGGGGTGAGGTTCTAATTCAGGAGAGGAGAACATAGGAGATCTGGGACTATACCACTCAGAGGGAAGTACATCATCTCCATCCTCTGCTCCAGCTCAGTGGCTCAGAGATTTTGTCTAGGGGGATAATGCATGCCCTAAGCTCCAATTCCCTTACCCCCACTCCCATAACTGACTTAATTTGCAACAGTGTGGAGAAGTTCAAGCTTAGGCTGACTATCATGCTAGAATAAGCTATCATGCTGGAGAGAACCAGAGAGAGAGCTGGTGTCAGAAAAAATCTCAAATACTAATCTGTCCTTCATAATTCAAATACTGAACTATCCAGGTGCACTGATTTGATTGGATCAGTTTGTGGAGCAATCGATGCCTCAGCATTTATTATAAAAAACAGAGCAATCAGCCAGCAATTAGTGGAGCCTAACAGCTGGGAGTGGTCAGGGACACAGTCAAATCAAACCATGGTGGGCCTACCCCAGATTGCACCACTGAGGAAAAACATCAGAAGTTTCACACAAGGCAGGGCAAAAAGGGGCAGTAAAAAGGTTTCAATAAACTAATCCTGCCAGTCATTAAAGAAGTAAACAAGCAAATAACAATAAACAGCACAGTTGTTGGGTGGGAACCAATACCCAGAGTTGCACATTATATTATCTAAAATATCTAGTTTCCTAAAAAAATTGTAATACATACAAAGGAAGTTTGACTTATACACTAGCAAAAAAGCAGGCAACAGAAACTATGAGAAACCAAATGTCAGATAGACAATGACTTCAATCAGTTAAATAAATATGTTCAAAGAACTAAAGAAAGTCATGATTAAAGAAATAAAGGAAGGTTAGGTGTAATAGAGACAAAGTACAAAAGATAACTAAATGGCAATTCTGGCACTAAAAAATACAATAGCTGAAAAGAAAAATTCACTGAAGGGGCTCAGCATTTAGATCTGAACTGGCAGCATAAATAATTAGTAAACTTCCGGTCGATTAACACATCAAAATATATGTAATACATCAAAAATATATGTAATGGGAATATCAAAAGAAATGAGAAAGGAGTGGGGAAAAAACAATGGCAAAAAAATCTCCAATATACTGGAAAATATTAATTTACACATCCAGGAAGCTCAACAAACTCCAAGTAGTTAACTACTTATGCTGCTGATGCTGCCGGTGCCACCACCAATGACACCACCACCATTACCATGACATCTTCAAGGATACTGACAAAAAGATATTGTGGTAAAATTGTTGAAACCCAGACTGGGAGAAAATCTTAAAAGCAGCAAAGGAAAACTGAGTCCTCACTTGTAAGAGAATCCTAGTAAGATTAATAGTTTAATCTTCATTAGAAACCATGGAAGGGGCCCTCCTTGATGGCGCAACAGGTTAACTATGAAGCCATCAGCAGTCATTACAACAGTCTGATTCCCTTTCAGGGAGCTGACCCACATGGCATGGCAGCCCTCTCCTGACCCTGCTCGCTGCTCCCCTCAGCAGTGGATTTCAGTTGATCTGCCTGTTCTGCTTTCCACTATGTCTCTGGTGAATTCTTTCACCCCCCTGCACCTCTGGCCTGTACCCCAGTTCTTGTATGCATAAACAAATATACCTTTAAAAGAAAAAAAGAAACCACTGAAGTCAGAAGCAGTAGATAAAATATTCAAAATGCTCTGTGTTGATATTTGTACATTTTCAATGAATGTATTGTTTGGTGTAAAACCTAGGACATTCACTATTCTGAAATGCAAACAAAAACAAGACAATGTAATTTAAAGTCGCAGTAAATGTAGAAATTTAAACAAAAAGTAGTAAGTTTTCTAATTATTTCCTATTGAGTGCACAAGTACACATACTCTAGGAATTTCATTTGTCTGATACCATCAGGATATTTTATATAAATAAACCTTCTAGATAAATAGTGTACCAAACATTTAAAATCCTATTATCAATGGGAGCTTTTCTAAAATATCCAATTTTATTGTTGAAGCAATAAATTACCTCAAACTCAGGGGCTTAAAACTATGCAAATCTATTACCTTGTAGTTCAATAGGTCAGAAATGTGGCATAAATCTGTGAGCTAAAATAAAAAAGCTGACAGGGCTGTTTTCCTTTCTGGAGGCTCTAGGACAGAATCCATTTCTTGCCCTTTGCATCTTCTGGAGGCCACACATGTTCTTGGATCCTGACCATCTTCCTCAATCTTCAAAGTCAGCAATGCTGAAACTCTTTGATCCTCCTTCTGGCCTCACATCTCATTCCCTGATCCTTCTATTCTGCCTCCCTCTTCCATTTTTAAGGACCCTTATATCAGGCGCACCCAGATAATCCAGGATTATCCCTAGTTTAAAGTCAGTTGATTAGTAACGTTAATTCTTCTTTGCTATGTAACTTAATATAATCACAGAGTCCAGGAGTTAGGGCATATAGACTTTTTTTTTTTGGGGGGGGGCACATTATTCTACTTGTAACCAAATTTTGCATTGTTAAAAGTGAATATACACCTATGCAAATGTGTTCAATATCTATCTGACGAAGGTGGAATAGTAATTCAGTGGAGGAAAAATAGGCTTTTTAACAAATGGTAGTGGGATAATATTTAAAAATAATGATTTTCAACGTAAGTCTCACAGGTTAGACAAAAGGTAACTCAAGTTAACTCAAAATGAATCACAAACTTAAATGTAAAACTATGAAACTTTTAGAATCTAGGAGAAGTTTTTGGGAGCTAGGGCTAAACAGATTTCTTAGACTTGACAACAAACGCATAATCTCTTAAAGAAAAATCCACCTCCTTCAAATTAAAAAAAACTTGCTCTATAAAATACTTTTAAGATATAAAAACAAGCTACAGAAATGGACAAAATATTTATAAACCACATATCCAAGAATGGACTTGTATCCAAAATATGTAAAGTCTAAAAACTGAATAGTAAGAAAACAAAAGATTCAACTTAAAAAAAAAAGCAAATAAGCACATGAAAAGATGTTCGACATCACTAAGACAATAGGGAAATGGAAATTAAAACCACAATGGCTGAAATAAAAAATAGTGAAAATTCAAATACTGGAAGATGTGAAGAAATATCATTCCTACATTGATTGTAAAACTATACAGCTACTCTTAAAAAGCTATTTGACCATTTCTTTAAAAAGTAAAAGTAAATACCCAAAACCCTAAAACCTAGTAATTTTAATTCCTGGGCATTTAGCCCAGAGAAATGAGAATTTATGTTCATACAAAAATCTGTTTGCAGCAGATTTATCCCAACAACCAAAAAGCAGGAGGAACCCAGATGTCTTTCAACAGGGAGTGGTTAAACAATCTGTGGTACATTCATACCATGGAACACTACTTAGCATTAAAAAGGGACAAAGAATCGATAGGTTGTCTAAACATCTAAAATTTAAAAATCTAAACATCCACAACGTTAAATGTCCAGAGCATGCACATTTAGAGTGATGAAGTAAATTAGCGGTCATCTAGGGCTGGCAATGGCACTGAATGAAACAGGCATAAAGTTGCTTTTTAGGAGGTAACAGAAATGTTTCAAAA